GTTACGTTTAGGGAAGGATTAGCACCCCTACAACGCCCAAAATTGGTACTTTTTAATTATAAATTGTCTCTATTATTAAAATTTAAAAAATTCAAAATATATTTAATTTATAATCCTATTATTTCAAAATTATATAAAAAATATTTATTTATTTAAAAATATCGGAAAAGGACTTCTAGGTGCCTTAAGACAGTTATTTTCTTTGATATTAATAAATATTAATTTAAATAAAATTAAATAATAATTTTTATAATATTTAATTTTAAAATACCAGAATAGGACATCCAGTTGTATTAAGACTGCCCTTTTCTTCGATAAAAAATATTAAAATAATTTATTAAAAAATATAAATTATTATTTATTATATATATTTATGACTATATAATAATAATAAAAATATTTAAATATATAAACAATTAAAACAATAAAAATACAATTAGAACGATATATTTAAAAGCAGTAAAATAAATGAAAACATTTAAAATTAGTGACTAAATTATAGTAAAATTAAAATTAAAAACCTAATTCATAATTAATCAAAATTATAGGGATTAAACATGCTATTTTATTATTTTATTAATTTAGTGACTAAAATAAAACTATATAAAATTCGGATATTAGATTAAAATAAATTAAAACATACTATTCATATTAAAATATTAATTATTAAAATTAAAGGATTAAATCTGTTATTTACCCTAAATATATTATTTTAATATAAAGGACTAAAATAAATAAAATTAAAATTAAAGATCTGAATTAAAAGGATTATAAACTCGATTTAGTGACTAAAATATAAAGTTTACAAACTAGGCTGACTTCGGACGGGATTTAACAATTAAAAAATTGCACAAATAGTCCTTCCCGAAACGACGTCGTTCGGGAAGGCCTATTTAAGGTCTGAAACGGCTGGCCCTTCATTTCTCAGTTTCTCATCTCTCTCTCTTCTCTGAGAGAGAATTTTCTCTCTCGCTTCTGTCTAAAACAGAGAGAAGCCGGCCGGCCGGCAACCGTCCGCCGGCGTTCTTCCGCCGCCGGCCACCGTCTTCGGTGGCCGGAATAAAAATTTTTTATACTAAAACATAGATCGGACGGTCCTAATGACGGTTCCGATTGCATTTTCTTTTAAATGGCTCCCGATCAGAGCAAATCTAAGAAATATACCTTCGGTTTTCGAAGGTTTTGATGAGGTCCGACGGTCGTGGCTTCCTCGGTAAGCTTCTCTTCTTTCTATTTTTCTCTGTTTTTTTTTCTCTGTTTCTTTGCTGGTTTATTGGGTTGTTGCTTTCTGTTTTCATATTTTTTTTGCTCTTGGTTTTCTGTCTCTCTGGCTCTGTTCTTTTTTTTTCTTTGCAGGTTGGGTGATGGCTTTATAGCCATCACCGGCGCTCGTCTCGGACCGGTCCGAAGGGTGGAGTTCGGTGAGTCACCGGACTCCCAGTGGTGACTCACCGTTGGGATGACATGTGTGCGGCTGGAGTGGCAGCGAGGCTGAAGCAGTGCCGCGTGGTCTTCTGGAATCTACGGCGGCGTTGGGACGTGTCCCTAGGGTTTCCTCTGGCAAACTGTGGACCGTTGGATCAAACCAGATCCAACGGCTGAAATTGAAAGGCAGCTGAGATGATGCTGAAACCCTAAGAGGGTTTAGGGTTTGTTATTAGGTTTGGGCCAGTCTGTTTGGGCCAGAATTGGGCTCCGGGTATTGGGTATTGTAATCTGGGCCTGGTTGTAATAATAATATTAATAATAATAAAAATATATAATAAATAATATAATAATAATAATAATAAAACCGGGACAAAAATTTAGTGTCTACACTTAGAATTTTGGAATAAAAAATCACTTAAAAAATTCATAAATCCATTCTTTTCCTGATAGAGAAAGGCAAAATTATGTTCGATTGATCACTACTATTGTGCTTTCAGAGGTGCGAAACAAACGCGCTAAATGCTGAACGGTTCAGCATTCAGCGCTGAATAATTTCATTAAGAGACAAACAAACAACCCCTTAATATAGCTCGAATGAAATGAAACTGGTTCATGCCTATGATCTTGGAGGATCTAAATGTTTCTCTGCTGCCTTCGCATTGACCAAAGGTCTCTTCAAAGAAGTTCCAACTGATTTATGTACCAAGGGTCCCTTATTGCTCTTGCTGGAATTAGTACCAGTCTGATGTTTTTTTTATCTTATCATCTGAAACGACAATGAAGAACAAAGTTTAATGGCATTGACATGACTAATGAGAAATTAATAAAACTATAAAAGTTACACACAAAAAAGTTTCGATCCCAACATTTTAAAGTTATTTTACAATCATATTTTGTTTAAATAATTTTGTAATCTTTATAAAATTTCATATTAAATGACGTGTTTTAAATATAAATATAAATTTACGATATACAATTATCATTGGTTTGGAAACCAAAAACTTTAATTTTTCATAAAGTTTGTTTCTATTTGAGAAGATTTCTTATTTAACAAGGATAGATTTGATACACTTTAATGAAGTCTCTCTCGGAGGTAAGCATTGATGTTGGAAGTGGTAGCTCAAGTTCTTCCTCAATATGTCATGTCTTGTTATCAATTACCGAAAACCCTTTTGAAAGAGATTATTGAAATTATGCGTTAATATTGGTGGACAGGGAAATCAAATAGAAGGGGTTGGTCGCTTGTGTCCTGAAAAGACATTTGTAAGTCAAAGAGGGTGGATGGTCTAGGTTTCAGAAACATCAAATCGTTCAATCTTGCGATGTTAGGAAAGTAGTTATTGCACTTTATTAATGAACCTGAATTATTGTTTGCTTGGATGTTTTGAGCTAAGTATTACCTGGACGGTGATCTTTTACATGCCAAACTTGGATGCAAGAGTTCTTATGCATGGAAAGGTCTCTATAAGACTTTACAGGCCTTATCATCGGCTTTCTTTTGGAGAGTGAGATGTAATAGCGAAACTCGTCTGTTTCACGACAACTAGGGAGGCACAAAGCCAATAACCCTTGCAGGTACCTACAACATCCCGTACTTACGGGATTTCAGATGCGGAGACTTCATGCATAAGGATCAGCCGTTGTGGAGACAGGACAAGGTATACGAGTTTTTTACAATCAGGATGTGGAACAGATTCTTCAAACTCCAATAGAGTCTTGCTTCTCCGACTGTATAGTGTGGGGGAACCATGATTCGGGTATGTATTTTATTCGCTCCGCTTACTGGTGGCTCCAGGGGCCAACTCACACAAATGAAGCGATTTCATCTCTTTGGCGAACTGTAGCAAAGATAAGAGTTCTTCCTAAGGTACGTACCTTTGCTTGGAGGTTGGCACGAGAGGCTCTACCGGTCAGTAGTAAAATACAAGTGGTTGGACTAGACAATGGGATTTGTCCTTTCTGTAAGATAGATATTGAGACCATGGTCCATGTGTTTCGGGATTGTTCCTTTGCGAAGGAAGTCATCAGGGTTGCATATCTATCAGGTACGTTCCTCAACTCCATTTCTACTTCTCCTTTATTATGGTTGGAATCAGCTCCTGCTACGCTTGGACTTCATGACTTTGCAGAATTTCTAGTTCTATTATGGAATGTTTGGAATGGACGGAATTCCTTGGTGCATGATCGTCGTTTAAAGCCTGCTTGGGCCATTGTTTCCAATTCAAAGGTGTTGCATTCTGATTTTCTCAAGGCCCGACACATACCCTACTCTAATGTGCCACAGGTTTATACTCTAAACCATTGGAGGCTACCGACTAGTAACACTATAAAGATAAATGCAGATGGTGCTTACAATCCAATAACTAAGATTACAGCAGTGTGTGTAGTTGCCTGTGATGCCTCTGGTTCCGTCCTTGGAAGTCTAGCTATTACTTCGGGTGGTATTTATAAAGCAGGTTTAGATGAGCTTCATAGCCTTGCTGCAATTTTTAACCTAGCTTTGGAGGAGGGATTGCGATACATTATTATTGAGATGGATTCCACTATGGTAATTAATCTATACAACAATACGAGTAGAGTGAATTCTGTGATTGGTGTTCATATGCAACCTATTAGTGACAATTGTAATAGTTTTAATAGTTGTATTGTTACATATGTTCTTAGGGAAGAAAATAAGGTTGCTCATATGTTAGATAAACGCGCCCTCGATTGTAATGCTTCCTTTTTCTTTGAGGCTGAGTTTCTGAGTTTATTGCAACTGTTGTAACGAACGATTTGCTTCCAGATTTATTAATGAATTTGGACACTTTTTTCCCCTTATAGGACCTCAAAATTGCGTTGGTAGAGGGGGGTTTTTAATGAGGCCCGCCTTTCTGTCAATAAAAAATAAATTGTCTAATAAAGTTTACTTGTTCGACAAGTAAGGACTTTATAAAAATAATTCGAAAAATAGCATTCTGAAAGATACTTTAATAGAGAAACAAGTAAAGATGAATAACTAAAGAAAATTTGGGTTTCAAACCCTATCAAGAACGTGATGTTTATTTGAAGATTTTTTGTGTCAAATTCGATTAACGATTTTAATTTTTTGTCGTTTTTTCAAAGAGTTTTATTGTATATTTGAGAACACTTGCATATAAGTTTATTAAAAAAGTATTATAAGTGTGTAATCAAAATTTAATTTCAAGGATAAAAACAGATTTTCAATAGAAAATATATAGAATAATTTTAAAATTTTTAGAAGTGATTGTCCCCCCGTTCTCATCTTAATCCATTCCTGACCACGAGCAATGGGAGCTAGAAATTGCATTACATCCTGGATCATTGTTGTACAACATCGACAAACCAACATAAAGATATTGTCAAGTATCAAAAAAAAAATTCACATCATCAATTTCATAATTTTGTTATTTTACTCAATTAATATTATGACAATTTTTTAAAGTAATACTAGTCTTTGTGGGATATGCTACTTCATGCACTAATTTACATACATTTTATTACTTGGTAGGCGGTAGTGTATGATTGCATTTTGTTGTTACATTATTCGAAGCATCATTGACACAACTGTACTAGCAACTTGCCGTCGATGAATTTTGAGTTGGAGTTTTCAGTTGTTGTTTAGAATTCTCCAAATTCAATTTTGAAGACGATATATACACATCTTCTTGATACAAGTCTTTCGTGAAGTGCACAACTTGTTGTTCGAGCCAGACGATCTCCTCCTCGAGGACCGCCACTTCGGCTAAAAGCTCCAATGTCTACAATATCAAAATCCAACATTCGAATGACCATCTCATTCCTTCAAGTTCGGTTATTGAAGGGGGAAAAAAACAATGGCGAATTACTAACTGAAGGAGGGAGATAGGGAGGAAGACGAGGTAAAGCTCCCAAAGGTCTATTAAAAGCTCTCTCCAAAGCTCTATGAATATTTTCTTCTTGTCTAAGCTTCTTCTTCAGTTTATCAACCTGGTAAAATTTGAAGCTTTGAATCAATAAAAGAGATGAGAAAACGAAATCCAGAACCTGTAACACTCTGGGAGAAGAAATCTATACATCTTGTTGAAGGGCCATTTTCCGGGAAAATCCACCTTGAAAGATGCCTACTTTTTCATGCTTCAGTGGAACTTTCTTGGCTCTGGTATTCATGTTTTAAAACTCTGGTACCTTATCTGCAACAAAAACCAAATTGAAAGCTTCACCAACAAAAGGAAAACAGAGAACTGGTCAGATTCAGACCTTTATGAGAGAGGGAGGAGGAAGATGTAGACAAAAATACGGGTTAATGGAATGTATGTATTTCCATGTTTAATGCATATTTCATTCTTCCATACCTATTTTATTCAAATATTTGAATTTTAATCCATTAGAGATGATACATATGGCGATAAATAAATATTCCCCTGTCATTTGGGTATTTATGAATTAATTTTTTTTATATGAAAAATAAAATTCCATTTATTGAATATACTAAAATCAAAGTATTTCTTGAATTTTTGTTATGAACGAAATGGACGCTCCACCCATAATCAAGTGATGGCGACTCTAAAACTGAAATCATTTATACCTTTTAATTTAATTTGGGGTAAATTATCAATTTGATCATCCATTTATTTTCATTTTTTGTTTTAGTTATTCAATTGTTTTTTTAAATCACGTCTAATGTTATATTTCATTTTTGTTTTGCTAACTCCTCATTAGGTGTGACCGCTTATTTACTGAAAATAGTGATGTGGCATAGTACAATAACTATTTTAGTCCATAAAATTTATACATTGAATCAATCTGGTCATCGTTATAATTTGAAAGAGTACGTTAGGTTTGACAATTTTTGTTAAGTCAAAGATCAAAACTAACGACAAATTATCAAAACATAAACGAAATGTAACGCTAGATATGATTTTAAAAAATAATTAGATAACCAAAATAGAAATAAAAAATAAATAAATGACCAAATATTTAGTTTATCCTTTAATTTGTTCCTTTCAAATCAATATAAAAATTTAATTAATTAAATATAATCAGAGTTTTATCTTCTCCGGACAATATATTTTTAAATAATAATAAAATATTATAAATATTACTAATGTTATTTTTTGCTATTTTACGGAACTTTACTTTTTTTTTTTTGTTAATTCTTTAAATAAATTTTAGCAATTTAATTAAAAAAAATGGTACACAACATACATGCGACATATTGAAAAAAAATATAAGGTTTTCTATTAAACTTAAAATTATGAACAAAACCATATAATGATTACAATGCAGTCATACATTTTGTACCATCATTTAATTAGAGGCTTCAGAGGAAGGGGGTTGCCATTTATAAACTGATATTGAGTTAACGTGCTTAACAAGTTATAACAAATAATAAAATGAAATTCAATGAAAACTCTTCCTCATCAATAGAATATTCAAATTTTCTTAATCGAATATATTTTTTTAAATGCCTAATTAAAAAAGGTGCAAACTATACCCAGTCATCACCTGACTTAGTATAATATAAAATTCTTTGTATTATATGTATCTTAACTTACAATCACAACTTAATATTACAAAATATATTTTCTATTTTCTTTAATTTATTAAATATATTTTATTCTTATCTTAACTAAAAACTATATTTTAATCTTATCTTAACTTATATATATATATTATTCCTACCTTAAGTTAAAAAATATATTTTATTATCATCTTAACTTTTAAAAATATTATGTCAAAAAAAACTTTTAAAAGTATGTTTTATTTTTATCTTAACTTATTACGTATACTATATTCTTCACTGAAATTATTAAATATGTTATATTCTTGCCTTATATTATTAAAAATTTATTTATTCTTATCTTAAGTTGAAAATATTTATTTTATTTTAATTTAAAAATTCATATTTTATTCTTACTTTAATTTAAGAAATATATTTTATTTTTATTTTAACTATAAATATATTTTTTATCTTAGTTTTAAAATATTATAAGAATAAAATTTAAATATTTAAGTTAAGATGAAAATAAAATATATTTTTAAGTTTAGAAAAGACTAAAATATTTTTAAATATATATTTAATTCTATTAATATGTGAATTTAAGTTAAGATATATATAATATTCATAATTTTTATTAGGCTAAGGTGATTACAAAGTAGTATTTGTTCTAAATACTCTCAACCATTTGATAATTAATGCTTAATCACCCTGCTGTAGTCATTGGTGCTCGAACCCATGACCTCTAAAAACAACAACAATTCCTTTAACCATTGAGGCAAGTTCGTAACACCCTAATCCGATCCAGAATCCAAAGGATTAGAATATTACAAGGGACCACCGAAGTGCCTAACCCTTTTTTTCAATTAAAACATCATATATTTGTGAAAAATACATACATGATAGTAATAAAATCCTTTTATAAATTGGAGCTCCATGACACAGTTTAAATCAATTAATATAGCCTAAAGTTTACAAATCCCAATACATAAGTAAGAGTCCTATGAATACACATGCCCACTAAAAGTAACCAAACAATACTATGTGAGAAATGTTGGAAGTCTTGCTGCAATAGTTCTCCTCAAACGACTCAATATACTATCATGCGAACGGAAAGCATCTGAACGCCTAGCTTACAAAGCCAGTAGTATAATCACTAATCTAGAGCAGTATAAGAATCTCATAACATAAGCATGCTAGATAATAAGGTATTAAGCAGTAGATACATGCATGATCATACTCAAGTGCCACCTACTTAGGGTTTGATAATTCTATCGCTATAGTCTCATACTTTTCTTAGTCTTCTACTAAGAGCCTCATCATGAGTTTATAAATATTGGGTCTCTAACCACAATACCAAACAATGATAGAATGCAATAAGCATGTTACATAACCAAACATCAAATATATATATTTATTAGCATTACCATCAATTCACAGAAGTGCCTTAGCATTGGTACTAAAGATCCTCGGCACTAATACGGAAGTGCATTCGCACTGATATTAAAGTTCCTTAACACTGTTGGTATATATCCTTATATTTCACATCCATATGCTTTATACGAATGTCATGCATACAATTAGCTCGAGTGTCCATATTATTTCCCGAGTAACAAAGAAAGGCATAAGTCTTATGGAATCTTACCTCATAAGGTTCTTATGGTTATCACATATATATTATTATTATCTCCTTGATATCTTATCCTCATTATCATTTACAACACATGTAGGTGAGAACACTCCCTCACTTACTAGTATCTCGATCGTTCTCTCTCATTTACATCACAAGCCATAATTGGAATAGTTCATACTTGTCACTTGAAACAATGGTTAACATTCATTATACCTTACGGATCTAATGAGCTACGACGTATGCATCTATATTGGAACATGTAGATCTAATCTTTCACTTTTCTGTTCGATCATAGCGCTGACACTTCTTGAGCAGACTCTTTGCATGATAGACTGCTAGGATCATCTTTCAATTTAGGGTAGTCTCTCACAAGATGTTATAGGAATCCACCTTTACAACACATCTTGGTGAGTCTTAAACATGTCCCTTGATGCCACTTTCCACAATGCTCGTTTGACAAAAAAAATGCATACACTTAAGACTATTAGTGCAACATAAGGAACTTGAGTAATTAAAAACGTATTTGACGTCTCATTTGCATCATCCATGTCATTTATACGTCTTACGAAAATCTGAAAAACTGGATCGCACGTAATCAAATTGAAAATATATGGATTTGTTCCTCTGTTCTTCTGCCTGAGCATAAGGTGAAACCTCTATATGAAGATCCTCTACCATACTGAGGTACGGAGACTTCCACTCTCGATCGAGCTAAGCCATCACCACCGAGCTAGGATAATCCCCCACAATATGCGCTAAAGATCCTCATTTATAGCACTTCCTATAAAGCTTGAAGCACATTCCTCAATGATTTTTACCATAATGCTCTCACTTTAGATACTTCAAAACTCTATCAGAGCCCCCATAGCTCACCATAGAAGTTGATAGTCTCCTACGAGAGCCTCGCTTGAACTCTAACTTGGTTGGAGTGACAGCTGACAACACCCTTCTCTTCTCTCAAACTTCTAGTCCCCCCTTCCACTGACTAAGATAGGTTTATTGGCACACAAGCCCTCATAATTGGGCCGCTCCATTTTCTCAGCAAACTGTTTCTCATAGTCTGCACCCTCTCCCTAGCCTTAGCATGTCGTGTCAACTCTAAAAACACCATAGGCAGATCTGTCTCCAACTGCTCATGGATATCAATATGAAGTCCCTCGAGGAACCTATTACATCTGAAGGACTCAATCGCAACTAACTCTAGAGTGTAATGGATCAACCAAAGGAAATCTCTCTCATACTCATACATTGAACGGTCTCCCTGAACTAGCTAATAGAATTGTATCCTTAAACCATCTATGTGTACCTCACCGATATACTTACCTATAAACTCATTTAGGAATTGATCCCACATAAGCACCTCTGACTATATAACTATCTCTACAGTCTCCCACCAATCGATAATATCACCCTTGAGCGAAGCAGTGACCCACTCTAACTTACCCTCTGCGGTAAGTTGAAGTTGTCTCAAGGTCCTCATGGTCTCTCTCAACCACTAATAAGCTAAAAACATCATCATCTCTTAAACCATATAATTCGAATATCTTATACTTCTTGGGTCCCTTTAATGGGGACTCTATCGATGTTTTCGTACTTAGTACAATTGGTTGAGCAATCTATGCTCTAACAAAATGTCTACTACCATATTGAGCATGGAAGTCAAACCTATAAAAATGCCATCTTAACGATCCTCACATATATCAAAACCTTGCGATCATCTACCCTAGGTAGAAACTCTCACTAAATGTTACCGAGGTAAGAGACACGACTCTTCACCCTACTAACGAGGCTATGCTCAGATCCCAAAATCATTTTCACTTTTGAAAAAATTATCACAAAGAGGAAGCACCATTAGGATTCTAGTCTTATAAGAGTAATCTCAGTACCTTGGGGCATGTATTTTTTGGGACCTCCGGTACACCCTATGGCATAAGGAAAAACTAATCCAATGATCACACCAATGATCCAAGTACGAAAACTCATATTCAGAATGAAGATATACGAATTTCAGTTCAGGTTCTTGGAAAATAACAATCTTGTATGCAATAACAAATAATTCAAATCCAAAGCCTCCACAAAACCATCTCGACCTCTACGCCGTTCACCCAGTTGTGAGCAGTTTTTTCTTTTTTCTAAA